TTTTCAGGGTTTTTTTGTTTGGTTGGTTTTTGGTGTTTTTTTGAGTAAAATTTGCATGGAGCATTATCTTGTTCTGCACAACTGCACCTCACAGAAGATTAAGAGTTAATACTGTGTCTTTCATACATTTTCCTATTAAGGAGACTAACAAATCTTGTAATTTAATCCTCAAAATAATAAGTAAAAACGGCTTAGGAACTACAGCAAAATTTTTATACCAGTTTATCAGTGACACTAAAACTAATCTGTCTGGGAATAGTGAGTCTTTCCTTCTTTTGTTCAAAAGAAAGGCTGAACTATGTCAGAAGGCCTTGTGGCCTCCTCTTTTTTGGCAGAGGAAGGGTGTCCATAACTTATGGCTTTTTTGACAAAGTCTTAGAACCCACATAATATGAAGATATGTGGATAACAATTCAGAAATAGGCACATACGTTAAGATGCTTGCCTTTGGAAAAAGATCTCTTTCCAGTTATTCTCTTCTTCTTGGCACTGAAAATCCTATCTTCCATTATGATAGCCAACGTTACCAGCAAAAAACAAAATAAAAAACTATTGAAAGATGTTTAAAAGCTTTTGCTGTAATAATCCAGTTGCCATTTTTTATTCATTGGAAGTTCAGTGTCCTCCTGCTCTTTCTTCAACATACTTCTCCCCTATAATCTCCTCTTTGTTCATCTTTGCTTTTTAAAACACATTAGTCTATGCAAAACCGCAGTGTACAAGCAAAGAAGGAAACAGAGTATGAAGAAAGTGCCATACAAAACAATTAGCTGGAAAATGATGAACCAGAGCAAGTCCACGATACTTGATTATTCCAGTTCAAAAGACAGCAGGTGTCAACAGTACAAGTCAAAATGCCAGTATATTCAATAAATCAACGGTGTAGAAAAGCCTCTCGTTTTTTAGAATCCATGAGCAATAACTATTACACTGTGTGAAATATACATCAAAAAGAGCCTTTGGGGTTTTTTTCTTTACTGTTAATAAACAAGTCATTCCACCCAGAATGTCAGCTGTATCCAATTAGTTATTACTTGATTAGTTCACATGAAAGTGGAGAAGGAAAACATTCACAGGAATCTTGATGAACAACACTATGGGATGATTCCTACCATGTTGCTCTGCGATTGTGTGGCCCCATACATAGTAATGCCATTTGACGGTCCTGCTAATTGCGGTGTATCTGGTTGTATAAATCCTCTTCTGTCAATTAAGCTATGGAATAATCAAAATAAAGAAAAAATGTTAGAGATATTTCTGATTAATAACTACCTCCTCTTGATAAAAAGAAAGAGAAAATTTTTCTATCATACAATGGACCTTAATACCTTACCAATGCCTTCAAATGTCTCCTTTTATTCAACTGAAGTACAAGACTTCATTTCTACTCATCAGCAAGGTAATTGTTTCCTTTAATGCTACCTGCTACATAGTCATATGTACTGCCACTTCTCTGGATTTTTATCATAGACAAAAGATTTAGAAGCTTACTAGCAGATACCACAAAACCCAACAATTTTAAACCACAGGTGTGAAAACAAATTACAAAATTCACTAGTGAACTTTGAATCAGTATCTATTTTGAAGGTTCTTTTGTTATCAGTTTCCACACCTCTAAATTAAAGCTACTTAATCACAAACTTTACAAAGAAAGAGGAACTTTTGTTCAGACAACTTACTTGACAGGTTTTTCATGACAGCTACTTAACACTACTTATAGCACTCCACTAGTCTTACCGAAGTGACACACTCATAAAATTTCTTATTTCCATCTAAGAAAATGTTTTATGGAAAAATTAATAAAAATAAGTAAAAGTCTACATAAGATTATAAAAAAAATAAATAGAATGGAATAATCTGACCTAGCTAAAGATTCTGCTAAAATTCCACATACAATTTTACTCTCAATTTAAGAGCTATAAACCTCACTTAGGTTCTGCTAGTTAATACTCACAAAAAGCTGAATGTACAGACCAAAGTACTGTATTCTACATCTGTATTAGCTTGTATCACTTCAATTAAAAAAAAAACCAAAAAAAACAAACAAAAACTTTTTAACTGTTTATGCTTCAATTCATTCCAAGTTGGGTTGTTTTTTTTTTTTTTTAATTATATGAAGCTTTCAATTATAGTTCCATGTATTTTTAATCATAGGCCAAAATGCTTTTTTCCTGTGACATGAACAATGTTACCTCCCATCTGGAAAACTACAAGTTTTACCATAGCATATCAAATTTTAACTGGAGGGTTTATAGTTCCAGTTACAAAGACATAATGACAGGAACGCCTCAAAACAACTGAGAGCTAAAGTCAGCACAGAACTGTTTTTATTTGCTGATTTATGGGACCTCTATATTCATTAAGGGTCAAGATGGCTTCAATTTTAAAAGATAAGAACAGGATGCATGGAAAATTCTAAGGTGTTTCCCCTCTCAATAGTCAATGAGGTTACCAACATTTGGAGACCAGTTGAAGCTCTCCTCATGAAGGTCTGCAGAACAGGTTTTTATGTACATTCAAAACACTTAGAAATCCACCTGAAATTACAATCTGCCACGTGGAAAGCACTCCTTCAAAAATCAGATGCTTAAGTTACAATTTATTATAGTTAGACCTATGCTGACAGCTATGGCTCAAATTAATTTTGAAAGTTACTGTTAAGGACATGTAAAATGCATTCTGAATTTGCTAGCATAGGTTTAAAAATGAGAAACAAGATCTTTAAACAGAAGTGAGATAAGTTTGGATTATTTACAGATCCTGTCTTAATCTGCATTCTATTCCCAAAGGCACTTAAACATTTTGAATTTTAAGCTGTAATTGCTGCTAAACCACTTTACCAGAATTTAAGGAAAAAAATTATATTTGGTTACTTGGGACACAGCTGAGATTAAAAGTCAAAAAAAGCAAGGTTATAATTTACATTTTACACTTGGTCACAAAACATCTCTCTGCAGAAACTCTACATACACTTCAGCATCTAAATAAGTTATGTTGCTACATGGAATATAGGGAAAAATGTACAAACTCTGTTAAAACAGAGAAGCCAATGCCAGTCTGGTCTAATTGTGTGCTGTTATTTGTATCAGCCTAAGATGCTATTTCAAATACTGAGAAACATTACGTAGTTTTAATAAAGATTTCCATTTGGAGTCAAACAAAAGAATTTGAAGCACAGCACTGAGTTTTTATGTCACATACTTTTATGAGAAGCAAAATGGCAGAATTAAAGGGTTAGCTTCAGGCACCATACATATAGGCAGGAAGCAGAGACAGGGTTGTTCTTTCTCACCACAGGGATTACAGTGTTAATCCAATATGTGGAAATCTTAACTCAGTTGTCTCCACCTTAGGAAAAGATGTCAGTCTCCCCTGTTGACCTTCAACTGCTCATAGAAGAACCACCTCTGATATTCATAATAGCAAAGACAGAAATCCCACTTCCAATGAAACACCTTAGCCACTGGACTGTAATTTACTTACTTTCTTCTCCACAGTTCAGATTCATAACTACATAATTCCAGACAAAGCAAAACCATTTCAGGCGATGAGTATGGCACAAAAATAATCTACAGGATGTTATCCACTCTCTACAGAGGAATTGGGCCTCTACTGTACATGTAGTACACGAACTATCTAACAACTGAGCATTGGAACAAGAGAATTAAATTAAGTCTTTCCATCTGCCAGTTTTATTTCTCTAGTCTCAGCTCTGTATTATATTTTGTTCAGGCTGAAAAACCATCTACAACCTTGAATATACAAATATTTTGGATTTCAAAAGTGAAAATGTATGCTGCAAAAATTAACCCATTAAGCTTTCTCTGGAACTGCTTTGGTGTAAGACCACCGAATTCAGGTTAATGTATACAAGTTACCAGTAGTATAATAAAGAAAATAATAAAGTCTAATATAATACTACTACTAAAAAAACCTTACTGTCCATTTAAATAAAGTGTTTTAGAGTGAAAAGACAAAAATGAACTATCAAGCTAGTTGTAGAATTAAGGTTCCTAAACTCTCCTAAACTGACGTCACATTTGTTAGATACATAAGAGTTTTTATTGAAGTTTCAAATCACGCATCATGCAACAGCTAACTACTAGAAATCTTTTACTGCTAGAATTATTAACTGCAGTGGCAAAAGTTCAAACAACAGATAAACAAGTTTATTTTCATTTCAGATGACAACCTTAAATATATTTTACAGGATCTGATGACTAACTTAGTTTAACCACAATTTACCAACTTATCTCTTTACTACTGAAGTAAAACTTAAAGCTTCTAATAGTCAGTAAAACAAAACTTTATTTTTGTTAAGTAAACTCAAGCAATCAGAAAGAATGTTTTTTTTCATCAATAATCATGTGGCTTCATTTATACTAACAAATACTTTTGATACTCTTACCTTGGAGAGAGGGGCCCACAGAGCGCAGCACAGCAATTAGTAAAGATGTTGCCATAACTGTATGGATTATAGTTTTCTTTACCTCTTTTATTTGACCATGATCCTTTAATCTGAAGAGATATGAACAAGATGCATCACATGTAATACAATACAGAAAATGGCTGCGACAAATTAAGGGTTACCAGAGTAGCAACAAGCTACTTACATCAGAGGCAGACCAGAGAAAAACCATGATCACACTTTCCAAACAGCCTAGAGCTTTGGGTTGTTATGAAAGGCTGGACCCTAAAATCTTACAAGCAAGCACATACTTTACCTCCATAGATTTAGACAACCCAAAATCTCAAAGGATCAATATACTCACAGTAGGAATTTCAGCATCTAAACATAATGGTCTAAGCTTAATTTTACAAATATTATGGCATGTTCTACAGAAGAGGTTCAATTACAATGTACCATTAAAGCCAGCAATAGAGCACTTCTTTTCCATACTCCTGGGTAAGTTCTCAAGCTGTGCCATACCACACAACATTATCCTCCCTAAGGTTCACAAATGGCTCTAAAATATTATGAAGCAACTGAAGTCATTACTACCTTTTAGCACATATTATGTTTTCTTTTAGCAAGTCTTGCTTTTCTGTTTTTGAGATACTTGAGAGCCTGAGTAAAATGTCTTACTGTATTCAACTGGAAATGTATGCTTTACATGAAATTATTGAACAGTTTAGTTGAAATTCAGACATGTTACACTGCTGCAGTTCCCTGCTATCTGACTTCCAACAATCCAAAAGAGACATTTATTTGAGGGAAGGGGGGATAGTGGAAGAACGCGGGGTCCATCTAGAGAAACAATGTTGGCCTAAACCTAATAATTGAGGAATACCAGAGTATCTCATCTGTCTTACTAACGAAGTAGATTTCTTCAAAGTCAGGCTACTTGCTCAGATACTTGATACCGAGAATCAATTCATTCTGAGCCTGCTTGGTAAGTTTTTTCTGGTTGATTTGTTATTTATCGTAAAATCTATAATTTTAACTGTGACCTTAAACAATAACCAAACACGTGTTTGACAGTCCCAGAGATGCTACTTTTATATTTGCCAGATAAAAAAGGTACAACAGAAAATTACAATAAAATAATTTTAAGCTTGCAGTAATTTCTTAGATTACCTACTAAATTCCACAAACTTTCTACACTATTAGCTACCTAGCTATTTTTATTTTCTCCTTTCACTCATTTTGTATTTCTCCTTTTAGTTAGGGGAGAACACATGAAGCCTCCACACACAAACATAATTTCACACCAAAACAATGGAAACCTATGTGCAAAATAGGACAACTGTAGAAATTAGAAAGTTGACCTTTAAATTAATTATATACTCCTTGCCAGGCATTTTAGACCTCAGACCGGCAAAGACATTTCAAAGGAAAAATAAAATAAAGGATTAAAATTTTGTTTTGAGAATTAAACAGGCTTTGCAATTTTTACAGTAAGCAATTTTTGAGTCAAAGAATATTTAGGACTCCCAGTGAACAAGAGATACTGAAAATTATTTAGTAATTTCCTACTGTATAAAATATATTTGTTCCTTTGTCTCCTCTCTTCTATATTTTCCTATTTCAAGATACAGGTTCTGTGGGCGTAAATCATAATGGACACACTACATAATGAGCACATTTTCAAGCCACAACAAATATAGTCCAAAAGTTCTATTCCGATATTTTGAATCAAGCATGACCAGGTTACTTCCTTCTTTTCTACTGAGGCATTCACAAAATTATGCAGGCAGGTGTGACTTCTCTAAGAATAACAGAGAAAACCTCCTCATTACTATTTAGAAACATATATGTAGAAATATACTCTGAACTTACATCTTCATTTGTTGTTTGATTGGAGCTGATCAAATACGTGTGAAAACCTGAGAGGCCAACAATGGACCATACTGAGAAAAAACACACCACAGCTTCCAGCACAGTAATTGAAAGTCAAGGAAATATATGCAAATGGAAAAAAATATTATATCCAATAACAAGTAGTTACAATCACAAAATTCAGGGCAGTTATCTTATAGCCCACGAGTCCCTTGAGATCTTTGGGGTACTTCAAAGGGGTAAGCAAAAGTAAAACTCAGAAAAGCAAGCCTATTGTCAGTAGGCTTTAGTGTACAGGCCACTGAATAGCATCTACACCAGCAAATATTTAAGGGTCTGCAGATTGAAAAAGGCTAGAAACTACTGACGAGTGGTTCTGATCTTAATTGCTGAAATTCAAATTTTCATGTTCACCCTATAAGTCATAACGTTTGTATTAAGACAGGTAAATTGATAAGTAACACTAAATAACAGTTCTGATGGGGTGAGGGGAAGATCAAACACAATTGAGGTAACTCAAGGCTAGCCGAATAGCAAAGACTGAACAGATAAGTTTATACAAATATTTAGCACACAATAGGAGTCTTGAGCCAGGACTAAGGCTTCTAGATCTGTGCTTATACGTATAGCAACAACAACAACAGAGTAAACTGCATCTCAGTCATATGTTCTAACTGCTGGACTCTCCTGTCTTTCTTCTGTTACTGAAGTTAAGATGCTGATGGGGATCCTAACACTAGCAAATTGCACTAGTCCAAATAAAATACAAAGTCCACTTGCTCTCTCAAGTCCCCCTAATAATGGGATATATTCCACATTACAACTGTGGGGTGCCTGAATGGCCCAGCCTTGGCAAATGGCCTGGATAACTCCTGTTAAGCCTGTGAGTGTAAATAGTTGGGCTGGGGTTGAATACTCAAAACTCAGCAGCATTTGCCCAAAACTTCTCATGTTAAAGAGGAAGACTATCAACTCCCAACTCACTGCACTGCTATTAGACAGTAGCTGAGGAATTACAAGACAACTTTTGAAGGAGGCATCAGCCCAAATTGTAAGAAAATCACAAAAAATGGCAGAAGAGAACTTGAAGTGGGAGCAGCAGCAGTCAAAACTTGGTTTGGTACAGCCACAGGTCACTCGACTGGCACCTGCCTAGCCCAGAGAGATCACCCTCCCTGTCAAATACTGGTAGTCTGCATCCAGACAGTAGACTCCCAGTATGGGGTGCAACATATAAGGACTTGCACCCGAGGTATACGTATGCGAGCTCGTGGGGTGCTTTCTCACCTGAGGGTTGTTGTAGGGAGCAGCACAGGTACACATACAGCAAGAGCACCCACACCTCCAAGAGGGTAGCAAAGGTGTGCACGTGCATGTGTGTGTGTGCACCACTAGGATTTTTCAAACTACCTGTGTTTTCACTCCTTATAAACTGCACAACCCAAATGCCATGAAGAAGTAACCAGGCTTTAAAAGTGAGATTGGTATGCTAAGAAAGTCAGTCAGCACTCAGTGTTGCATACTTACTACAGTTTATATCATTCCTTTAACTCTAAAAGAGTCATCATCTCAGCAATAAGACAATAAAGTTGCTTCTCAACTGTACATAATCAAGCATAAAGAGCAACTTTCTATAGAAGGCTTCCTGCCATAGTTTTTTATTTATATATATTTTTATTTACATACAATAGCCATGAACTCAGAATACATCTGCTTCGAGAATGTTATTTTCTACAACACTTCAATACTAAATTTTTTTTTAGGGAACATGAATCAACAGCAGAAAATACTTTGGTTCACAGAAAAATAGCTATAATAAATCAGTAGGAACAAGACAATGGGAAAAAGAGTAAGATAAAAATAATCTGTATATTAACCATATGCCAACCTTTAGTGAAGTCAGTTTCCAAGACAACATCAACTCAAAATATTCCAGAACAAGGACACAGCCTTAAAACATAGAAAACCATCCTTATTGCTGAACCTATCAACAGAAGAGAAATATGACAGCTCCTCACCGTTACACAGAGACACAGACTCGAAAATGCATGGATGGACAGACCTATTGGTGATAAATAATCCTAACATTAGTTAACAGTGAAGAGTTTTGTATTGCAGGTCTGCCCTCACCTAATGAATTGGGAAATACCTGAATTGTCTGTGTAACTTCCTCTAGAACCTACTTCACTCAGAGTGGTTTAAAAACCTGAAGAGAGCCATTTGCATTCTGAGCAAATCTTCTCCAAAAGAAGCACGATGACCAGAGTGCATTGCTGAGCAGCATGTTCACTACTCTCTCCCTCTCATCTCCTCCTCAAACTACGTGGGGAGTCAAACCAACACAACATATGAACTCAGTCTCAGTTGACTGTGCAACAGCCACGGCTAAAGCAAGGAGAATGAGGGAGAACAGATAAAGAAATAGACTGTTGTTAGCAGAGGGTTCAGAAAGGTGTAAAGGAGGAAAGGTAAAAGAAGGAAACAGCCCCAAAACATTATGCACAATACAAGTCCACCTAACTGGGCTTTGAGAGGGTAGAAATCATAAGGAAGGCTGTAGATGAGCACTGCTGGGTGGAGTCTACACACCAAGACTAAGAGGAAGAATCACCAGGTCAGAAAAGGGGAGCCTGAGAGGGAGAAGGGTTTCCTGTAACCTCATCAGATGACAGGATGTTCCTTGCCATGATTACACTCAAGAGGGTCCTGAAATGCCAGTTTAACCCTCCACATGGTAATTTCTACTGACAAAAAGGGGAATTTCTTTCAGTTCAAGACCTCTCAGTTCCCCGCTTAATGGGACTTCTTTCCCCAAGAAAGGGACTTCTTTCAGTTCCCCACACCAAGATCTAAAGCTCTCGGGAACAGCGGGGGTGGTTCATGTTAGATTAACATGACTCCATTAATTAAACATCAAATACAAAAAAGCAACATATTCTCAATATAAAGTATAACTTGCTAGCATAATATGGTATAACACTCCCTTGGTATCTCATACAGGGTTGTTAGCAAGCTAGAAATGGCAACGTTCTCTGTGCCTGAATTGACTGGCTTGCCCCAAAGCAGCATTCCCAATAATATTTGGACAATTTAATTTTTTACTGTTAGGGATTGTAACTACGCTATTAACTTGTCGAACATATCACTATCAAACCAGGCCATTTCTACAAGATGTGCTACTGAGCCTTTCAAATCAGCACATCTCTGAATATAAACTATGAATAAACAGCCCATTGTTCCTGTACAAGGATCCTCAAATGCGTAATCAATTACCTTTTGATCTAAGGACAATTGAAAGCTATTCTCAGTTTGAAAATACTTTGAAAGAATCATCTTTTGTAAGAAGTGATTGTAATTGTTTTAATTGGAAGCTATTGTTGTGCTATTTAGAAGAGTTTGCTTGTGCTTTGTAAAATCATTTGTACAAAAAAAAGTCTGAACAGTGGCTTTGCTTAAAAAGGGAGTTTACAGCTCAGTGACTCTACCTGATGAACACATAGACACACACACAAAAAAACCGCATCTGCAGAATTTGGAGAATTTGATACTTTGGAAAACTATCTGGAAAAAGAGGTCTGCCTTTATGCATAACTACGAATGACAGAGTAAGAGGTTTTTCTTCCTACTCTTCTGTGGAAAAGAGCAAACTGTGTGAGGCACAATGGACAAAAGACTTTTCCTTAGCACAAGTATGAGAAAGAATTCTTTTTATAGTAGCTTTGTGAGAGGTGCAAACTGCTTATTCAGACACAAACCATTCAAAACATATACAAAAGGAGTGGGAAGCTTACCATCTGTACAAAAATGTAAGGAAGAAACTAAAGAGAAGTTATGTCAGCTTCCCATTTTTCCATTATGTTAGCTGCTTTCAGACAGGAAGAAGGAGTATTTTTCATTCTCACCAAGTAGAGAGTATACAGAAAGCTCCCATGAAGTCACAAAAAGAATACAAAGTATTTACAGAACAGAATCACGGAATGGTTTGGGTTGGAAGGGACCTTTAAAGATCATCTAGTCCAACACCCCAACATTAGCAGGAACATCTTTCACTAGATCAGGTTGCTCAAAGCCCCATCCAATCTGACCTTGAACACTTCCAGGGATGGGGCATCTACCACCCCTCTGGGTAACCTGTTCCAGTGTCTCACCACCCTCATCATAAAAGCTTTCTTCATTACAGCCAACCTAAATCTACCTTCTTTCAGTTTAAAACTGTTGCCCCTTGTTCTCTCACTACAGGCCCTGGTAAAATGTCTCTCTGTCTTTTTTATGAGCCCCCCTTTATATATCTAAAGACCACACTGATGTCTCCCCAGAGCCTTCTCTTCTCAGGCTGAACAACAATAACAGTCCGTGTGTATGATGTGCATACTTTTATGTAACTTAACAGAAGTTGATACTTAAAAAATGACTTCTCTAAAAACAGTAAACAAACATAACAATACTTTCAGGAATTGAACTCTTCAGGGACAGCTTATTGTTTCAGTTGTTCCACAATCTACTTTTTCTGTCCTGACAAGAATCAGCCATTTTGGATACTTTCTGTTGTAAAAGCAGAAGAATTATTTAATATTTTAAATGAAACTACAGCATGGGTATAGTGTGAGATATGTTTACGAATTCCATCACAAATACATGGAACATATTTCCATCACACTTGGAAACTACAGACCTTTGTCAAGAGTACTACTCTGCAAAAGATGAAGAATAAAAACCACCCCAGGCTACGGTCTCTTTTGTACCTCCAACATGTGGTGAGAAATCCTGTTGTGCAGGAAGTGATGAAATCCTTAACTGATAAAGTCCCAAATGCACATATCCAACAACAGCAAGAAAACAAGCAAAAATACAATCTCAGATGTTATTTTGCAACAAGATCTAAAATTTGTTTCAGTGAAAGGATATCTTGCAGGACTGTCCTTCAGGGCATTGAGGAACCCTGTTTGTTGAGAACCTGTAGAAACAGAACCCAGAATTACCAGCTGAGTAAGAAATTGGACTACAGGCTGTTTTCAGCATAGTTAACACAATTAATATTTGAAGACCAACTGAATAATCATAGAATAGATTAACTAATATAAATCTGAGATTATGTTGCTCAGCAGCAGCATCAGAAAAAAACCTTGGGTAAGTTATCAGGTCTAACATCTGCAGGATATTTTCTCAGTCATACCAAATTTATGCATGCATACTTTCCCATGGACAAGATTTCTGATTATTTTTGTTCTTTTCAGACCTAATATGGAAACAAAAAATTATATGATACTTTTTTAGTTTGAAATACTATTTTTCAAAGCAACTTTTTTACTTTGAAAAATTTATACTATAGACCCAGACTCTCAACTTGCCCTCCTTTGTTCTGGAAGCAGCCTAAGTTCTCTAGACTATAATCCTGCTCCTACTGCACCTGCACAGAAGTTTTATTTAATAGGTGCTTATTGCCTCTGGGCAAAAAGAAGAATATCTAACAGCTGAAAAGAGCTCAAGAGCAGCATGCTTCAATGAACTAGAGATGCAGAAGCATCCACTTGGGTTCCACAACCAAAAAAGGGCAATTTGACAATTTTCTGATAAATATGCAACAAGTGAATTAGTCTGAAGAAACTGACACAATATCCCATAAGTATAAGGCACAGAGTTTGCATTTTACTTCATAATTTGACTTAAATCTTCAGGTTGAAAGTCTTTCCTACAGCAAAAAAAAATCTAAATTCATCAGAAGATTCGTATGAAGAGAGAAGCACTTCATCTTTAAAACAAAAAATAAAAACATATATATATGTGTGTGTATACATATATATATTCTCTAGACCTGCCTGGTCAATTTTACTGTTAAAAAGGGAAAGTTACTTACCTTGTATTTCTGAGCCTTTTCAGATAACTAACTGTTTCTTAGCCTCAAGGCACAGGACTAGTGGAACTTCCCCCTACCTTCTTACTATTTTTAGGATCCTTAATGGCAATGGCAGCAGGTAGGTGTGATCTCTAGTCCCTACTGCTGGTCAGACTTTTCCAAGCAGTTCCCAATATATCAGAAGGGGAAGGTTCTTCACTGCAACATACAGTTGAAATACTGATGCCTCCAACAGAGCTGAGTAACTGTGAAGATAGGCACTACTATTGAAAAATGTGTTATGCTTGGAGAAATGGAATAAAATCTTGCAAGCCAATACCTTTGAAGTATCTGATTTAAAAAGTAATTTTATCATCTTCAATAATACTACGTGCATACATTCTTAATCCTGGAAAGGGCAAATTTCCAATGAATGCCTCAAAAGTAAGGCCACAGAAAACAAAAAGTTAAGATGTATCTCACACCTCATCACCACTTATGCCCACTAAAAATTAAAAAAATGCCAGCTTGCAAGATTTATTAAAAATGAAACAGATCTCAACAATTTTTCTAAATCAAGAGATATTAAAAAAAAACCCCAAAACAGGTTTTCTATGTAATCAAGGAGGTCAGAGAAAGACCTTCCCTATTAAGATGAACAATAAAGGATTTTTTTTTTTTTTAAGGTCAGTGCCTGCAAGTTGCTAAAAATATCCCTCAGTCCCTTCCTAAAAGGATATTGGCAGAAGGCTTTCAGTCCAACACAGCATATCTAGAATAACGTGTTGCTGAAGGGAAGGTAAACCTGCTAGGATCATCTTCAGAAGAGCTAAGAACAGGATTTGATTGTCAGCAAGACTTCCTCTAGAATCAAGAATTTTGCCAGAACTTGAGGAAATACATATGGATGACTTTGAAATACTGCAGGAATAGTCCCAGGTCTAAAAACCAAGACTTTATTCAGACACACTAACACAAAGCACTCTATGCCAATTACAAAGGTTCAGATTAAGTAACTGAGAATCCTGCTTAATGATTAGCATCAGCTGAAGAACAGCATGGCTGTAAAACAGAACAAAAATGGTTGAGTGGTAACGTTAGAAAGGTAGATATGAAGACTTCTAGAAGCATGACAGAGAGTGGAGTGATCGATATGATAAAGAAACCTTATTTGTAAAGAACTCTGGTTTTTTTTGTCACAGTCAAGATTATAATAGATAATTTGGAAAGCTGGGCTTGAAGCTCAAACGTAGCAAACAAACATCGAGGAACTAATCACAATTCATACCTGCTCCCATTGCCTTTGAGGACCAAACAGTCTTTAGAACTAGGGAGGTTTTTCCTGTCCCATCCAAGCTAGATAAACCTCCATAGTGAGAAGGTTTCACAGCTGATATACTTAAACAAGTCAGCATTTAACATTTACTATACATTATCTGTAACACCTACACAGTACTAAAGTGCTGCTCAACCACACAGAGGCACAGTTCATTTCTCTGCTCTGTCTAATTCACACTTAGAATTAGGTATGGACACTGCAAAGTTAAAATCCACTGGATAACTCCACTTGATATACAGAAGATGAAATATTGGCATAATATTGGTAATTCATATGCTGAAAACTGAAAAAAAAAAAAAAAGCACTGTAGTGTCTATGAAATACAGGTAGCTAGCTTCAAAAGTAGCTTTATATTGTCAGACTGGTGTTTTCAACTACTGAATTCTAGCAGAGCAAGATGACAGAAAAACCCCATGCTTCCTTCTTCTTAAATGTAAAAAGTGTGCATGTATATGCTCATATATGCCCAAATAAATTTCAAGAATCTGAATATTAATGGAAAGTGTTCTCTTTCCAATAATTACCTTCCCCCTTTAAAATAATATTTACATCTTTTCTCTGCTCTTTCAACTGATATTAGAAATGCTGTATCTGGCAGTGAGAACAACTTGTTGATCCAGACTCCCGCAATATTAAAAGTGCCCCTAGCTCTAGTGTATATGCTAGATTTCTGAGCTACAGGAAAGCTGCTCAGTGCTCTCATCCTTCTTTTGTGAAGCACAAGTAAAAGGAGGAGGTTCCAGTTTTTAACACACAAATTTTCATGCCTGCACAGTGTAAGTAATTCAGGAAATTGAGCACAATCTGGTAAATTTTTCAGTAAAGCAGTCTCTAAATATTGCCATTACCAACTTTATAAATGTGTTATAAACTGAACTTAGTACTTCTATCAGATTTCCATTGTAATATGGAATACAAAGGGATAAAAAGATCACTTTTCCAAAATGATTAAAGAAACACTGTTCAAGGCAATAGCCTATATAATTAGTGAAAAGATGGAACACTCTTAAGCTTCCTAGTGATAGTGGGTTAAAAAACCCTCACAGCATACAAAAGGTCTTTAAAGACAAGTCATATAACCTGTCACCATAAATTAGAACATCATCATCATATAGGAGCTAACAAAATTTGTTACGTGTGTGGAAAAAAAAAATACACTATCCAAGAGTCTTGAAAATACTCTCCTCAAACCCAATCCAGAACACAAATAAAAATCAAACTCATGAGTATTCATTTTTCCTATAGCTTATCCGATTCACTCCATTACAAATTGGTTATTCTCAGAATGTCTATGCAAATGAACGTAACTTGTGTTAAAAATAGGGTAGAAAAAGATGTAAAACTAAACAGCAAACAACAAAAAGTGTAAAATAGCTCCAATTATTTCCTAGCAATTTACCTTTTTGTTTGGATGGCAAGTGACCCATGCTTACAGTTAAAAAGCACACAAATGTTCTTTGGGAAAATGATACTATCTGTATACTTAGACATAGAGTATGTGTGCTGCTTTTGCAATAAACTGTCCATAAAAGGACAAAAAAAGAATAAGCAAATTAACACTGTATTAAGATAAAGCCAGTGCTAGATCAATGACTACCATGACCAAGGTCTACTACAGACCAGAATGGGGCTCACTGGGGATTGTGAAGCTTCAGAGAAAAGGCAAATAAATAAATAAATAAATAAACCCTGAATGATCAAAAGATTAACTTAAAAATAAAAAACTCAAGCAAATGGCTACATACGTAATCTGATTTCACCAGCATACTTACGAAGGATGACGTGGGTGATAACGAATGCAAATATAAAGACTGTCAGAAAGGACAGAGATAAAATAAACATATAAAAAAATCTGTAGTTTCTTTTCCCCACACAGTTGCCTACCCAGGGACAGTGGTGATCAAACCGTTCTGAAATGAGAGGCAGAAGAAAAAAAAACGGAAAACAATTAATAAAATGCTGTTTATTTGAAAAAAGCTCTCTGAATACTACATTAAAACTCATGATTTAACTGGCATTTTCAAATTAGCCACAGAGAAATTCTTATTTAGAAAGGAAAAAGTAGAAAAGAAAACGGGAGTATTTTAATGAAACCTTACAGCTTTCAAAGAAATCAAAGCATGGCTGAGGTGAGCTCCTGTTAAACTAAGAGCATTATTGTGATAAATTGTGCAGTCAGACCAATAAGCATGTTTTATCCACTGTCAAACGCAGTGGTACCAGCTCAATTGGATTTTATGTTTTCAAAATAAGGATGTTTTTCCTCCAGTGACTCTTCTACTCAAAACCGGAGGTTTTTATGTTGTTTTATTTGTATCTGTCATGATCACACCTCTGACTTATGTCTACTATCATTTCATCCACCCATCCATTACGGTATATGAAATATTTATACCCTCCCACTTCTTTTTATTGCTTCACTCAAAATATTCTCCATTCCAGACCACCTATTTTTCCACTTAGAGTTGACACTGCTATACAAACCCATTCAAAATAGCAAAACCATTCACGTAAGCCATTTTTCAAGTGTTAAGATTCAGTGTCTTGTAAAATTTGCTTATACTTCTTTTGTGTTTGGTTTGGGTTTTTTTTTTTTTTTTTTAATAATCTCTTCATTCTTGCAGGAATTTTCTGCAAACCACATGGTATAAAAATTGGTAGATGTCTGAATGTTCTGGTACCCTTTGCACTATAGGCTCCCTCTTCTTTTTACTAGACCAAAACCTTTCTCTTTATTCCCCTGAGAGATCAACTGGTCCATGAGACAGGAAAAGGCCAGGGCGGGGCAGAAACCAGTGTCCCCAGCACAGGGGAAATGCCCCAGCGCTGGAAAGCAGCAGAGGGAGCAGTTCATTGTGCTTCTTCCCAGGCAGCCTGGACCCCGCGTTCCCTTCCCAGTACACTGGGTAATGGACACAGAGCAATCGTCAGGAAACAAATCGGCTTTTGCTAACTTTGCTTTGGAGAGATTACACTGACAGAATTTAAATTTTTTTAATCAAATCCAAGATCATAACATAAGACAGATGCTCTCACGCTGACTCCCTCTCACCCTCTGATCCTTGTCCAAATCCTGTTTTGTTTTCTGTGACTTTTATGCCTCCATTGACGTACAATATCAAACTATTTGTACTTCCACAGGAAAGGCAAGCTATAAATTTGAAGTCCTTAAGCCCTATGTTAAAAAGACACATCTGTCCAAGCACACCAGTTTATTTTAGCTATGGTTTTATGTTCAAGACCTACATTAGAGGTTTTCCTTGAAGGACGTACTTAGGATTATCTTCATTTAAAAAAAAAAAAGTCAAAACAACATGCACAACAGATTTCTGAGTTCACCAGACTTTCAGGGTTTCTTAAAATGGTTTTGCGTGACAGCTGTTCAGACCACATGTTTCTGCCATAAATCTGTTTCAAATTCCGATGGGGCTATTCAAGGTGAAGTTACTGAACTTTCTTAGGGTAAGGCTTCAGAAATACTTTGATTTAATGAGTACTGCTAAGAATATCAAGAACTAAACACTCTGGTATCTAAAAGGGTAGGCAATGCTACCTTTATTCAGTGCAATACAGTTGTATTCCCGAAATAAGTTGATATTGCATTGGAACAGTGCTTATTTTTACATTTGTGCTTCTGAATGAGTCCTTGTGTTCTGATAAACACTTCATTTAATGGGCACCTAACACAACACATGAGCAAATAATAACAGAGACGACTACAGTTATAGCCTTTTAAAGAGCATAATCCTAGGGTAGTTTTGTAGCCTACTGCTTCAGGAAAAAAAAATCATGATGTCTTTGGAAGATGAATTCTGTATATACACATTCATTCCCTTCTATGCTGACACAGCAGGAATGACATAAAGCTCAGTTTCTAGCCATGAAACAATATTTAGATAGATGTAGACATCTGTTTGATAGATTCAGATAAATGCATACAAACATAAACACACATACATATACACACCCCTCTATCTACAAACACACATACATATATATTCCTTACTAAAGACTGACTGGGTATTTTTAACCTACTTGTCACCAATTTCTGTCTTCAAACTTTCTTGGTAAACTGAAAGGCTCTGCTTTCTCTATAAACAGCTTCACAATGATTGGTAAGGTAAGTAACTACCTAAGATATTTGCAAAGCAGAAATGGACAGAAAAGGGTAGCTGAATATGAAAAACACTGCTACAGTGTTAGATCTGAATCAACTCTAATGAAAAAGGAGAAATATTACAGGGTTTACATGAGTGTTATGAATGAATAACTGGGCCTCACATTTCTAGTCATAACATAGAAAGGGATGGGATATTTATGCTATATGCCACAAAACAATACACTAAAAAGCAAGGGATTATTGTACTCAGCAGAGCACAAATATGTAAATGCAAGTAAAAGATAACAGCCTTACAGCTTGTGAGCTGCTCTGGTTAGTTGTTAATGCAAGAGAAAAAAGCCAACCCTGGCAAAATGAAAAGACACATACTAAGCAAAAACTGCTAATGCTGTTAAATATAAACTCCCTTAAACCTAGAGCTGTTTCTTCTTCCTTACAAAAAGACATGGCTTAATAATTATTAATGAAGAAATACAATAAACAATACCTTAAGGTTCACCTCCAGCACTCCAGATGTCTGCAAACTGAACAACCAATGATTTGGAAAAGGAAGCTCTGCCTGACATCTTTACTTGGCTTGGACAATGTTGGCAGCAAAATTAAGATTTACTTTCACTGAGAAATGAAAAACTACTGATGCTGAGAAAAACTGGGAATTCCGGCCCTTGTAAACTTAAAATGCAGAGCAAATATAAATGCAACTGATTGTTATGAAGAATAACAGGCTGTTTAGAGGTGATGACTGCAGTTTTGGTTTAAATTTATAGGGTATAGTTAACATGCTGCTGTGTTCAATCATACGTCTGTGAGAAAGTTAATGTAAAAACATTTGAGGCAAATGAAGAGAATCAAAACACTAGTAATACAAACTCTTGTTAACAAAAAGTGGATTAGATCTCTTAATGAGGGAGGAAGAAAGCTTCAAGGGCTGAAAAGTTTGTTTATGGAAGCATCCCATGGAGAGAAAAGTTGTGATAGATCATCCTCCTGCACTCAATTTTAAGCAAAAGCAGCAAGGTATTTGCCTTCAGGATGTGGTATGACATTACAGGCATATCTACCTAATCGAGAATACTGCTAAAACAGATGGCACAGCTTCTCCCCTTTTAGCAGTCCTGTGAACAATCTCTTCCCTGTGTGTTTATGGCTCTCCGTCCTTAGGCCAAGCCCAGTGTTCATTTTACCCTGGGGGGAGCTGGTTGACAGAGCCAGATGAACTTAAAACTATGGTTAATCTTAGAATCATAGAATTGTTTAAGTTGGAAAAGACCTTTAAGATCATCCAGTCCAACCAGTAACCTAACATTACCAAGTCCACCACTAAACCATTTAAGGGTAGTGTAGCAATTTCATGTTTCCTGGCTTGGTGGCTGGATAATTTATAATGAAAGTAAAAACTAGGAATCATTAAGGTTGGAAAGGACCTCTAAGATCACCAGTCCAATCATCAACCCAACACCACCATGCCCACTAAGCCATGTCCCAGAGTGCCACATCTACCCGTTTTTTGAACACTTCCAGGGATGGTGACTCCACCACCTCTCTGGGCAGCCTGTTCCAATGCTTGACTACCCTTTCTGTAAAGAAATTTTTCCTAATGTCCAATCTAAACATCCCCTGATGCAACTTGAGCCCATTTCCTCTTGTCCTATTGCTAGCTACTTGGGAGAAGAGACCAACACCCACCACCCTACAACCTCCTACCTGAAGGTAGTTGTAGAGAGCGATAAGTCTCCCCTCAGCCTCCTCTTCT